TAAAAGCCAGTAGAGGAGATAAAATAAATCTAACAAAAGAAGACAGGAAAAGAAGGACAAAGGAGTAAAGAATAAATCACATAAATGACAATCAAATATCAATATATTTATATTAAATCAGTAATTGCATTAAATGTAAACAGATTAAACACTCTAATTAAAGATTGCAAGTACAGATGAAAAATAAAAGACCCAAATGTGTGCTGTTTACAAGAGATACATCATAAGTATAAAGACACAGTTAGGATAAAAGTAAGATTCTGGAAAAAGACATATATCTTATAACCCCGATCAAAAGAAAACAAACTTGTCCATGAAATATACTATTGAAATTTTGAATGTTTGGCTACATGTGAGATGAGATATAATGTTTCAGTAGAATTTTTACTTACATTTTCCATATTTCCATTTCTCTTGATATGAGTAAATTTATGACTCATTATTTTACTATGAACTGTTAGGTGTTTTACCCATTCTATTAGGTTTTTGGTCTTTTTCTTCTGGCTGTATATTTGTTGTTGTTGTTAGGTGCTGTTATGGATTGAACTGTGTCCCCCAAAAATATCTCCCAGATTGGCTGGGTCATGATTCCCAGTACTGTATGATTGTGTACCATTTTGTAATCTGATGTGATTTCCTTATATGTTGTATACTCTATCATTATGATGTAATAAGATGGATTAGCAGCAGTTATACTGATGAGGTCTACAAGATTAGACAGTGTCTTAAGCCAATCTCTTTTGAGATATAAAAGAGAGAAGTGAGCAGAGACACATGGGAACCTCATACCACCAAGAAAGCAGTGCTGGGAGCAGAGCGCGTGCTTTGGAACTGAGGTTTCTGCACGGAGACACTCCCAGACCCAGGGAAGACTAATGCATCACAACGACCTTCCTCCAGAGCCGACACAGAGAGGAAGACTTCCCCTGGAGCTAATGCCTTGAATTTGGACTTGTAGTCTACTAGACTGTAAGAGAATAAATTTCTCTTTGTTAAAAGTCATCCACTTGTGGTATTTCTGTTATAGCAGCACTAGATGACTAAGACAGGGGCAGCCTAGTAGGTTCTGATTCATAGTGACCCTGTGTACCACAGAATGAAACACTGTCCAGTCCTGTGCCATCCCCACAATCATTGCTATGTTTGAGCCTATTGTTGCAGCCACTGTGTCAATACATCCCACTGAGGGTCTTTCTCTTTTTCACTGACCCTCTACTTCACCAAGCATGATGTTCTTCTCCACGGACTGGTCCCTCCTAATAACATGTCCAAAGTATGTAAGACTACATCTCGCCATCCTCATTTCTAAGGAGCATCCTGGCTGTACTTCTTCCAAGACAGATTTGTTTGTTCTGGCAATTCTTGGCACATTCAATATTCTTGATCAACATCATAATTCAAATGCATCAATTCTTCTTCTGTCTTCCTTATTAATTGTTCAGCTTTCACATGCATATGAGGTAACTGAAAATACCATGGCACACCTTAGTCTTCAAGGTGATATCTTTGCTTTTTAACACTTTAAAGAAGTCTTTTGCAGCATATTTGTCCAATGCAATATGTATACATATGTATAAGTATATATATATGCATGTATATGTATACACATATACATGCATATATATGTAATCTATTATATTTAAATGTAAGTATATATGTACATACATACAGTAAAACCTGTGAGAGCCAGAAGTCAATAGGACTACCTTTTTTTTCCGGGTCTTGCAAGTTTTTTGCCTTTGACAGGGTGCAGTCTACCACTTTTCTATCGCTCTCTATTAGTGGAAAATATTTTAATTTCTTTCTCTGACCGATTTCTGCCTTATGTAGGTTCTGGTTTTTGAAGGTATTACTGTCTTTACATTTAAATATATGCATTTGTTGGTCAAAGCAATGTTGTGGGGAATATCAAGAAATGAAATATAAAACATTTTATTCTATTAGTCCACAAAGAGTCATGCTGTTAGAAGAGTGGTGGTAGGCAGGGAGGGTAAATTCACACCAGTACATGTTCCCCATAACAAATTAGCAAGATCTTGCCATTCCTTTAGATTTACCTTCTCCAAGAACCAACTTAGCAGTTCTCCCTGGCCTTTCTGGGCCCGACTCTTCTTGTGGGTCTGCAGGAATTGAGGGGTGGTAAGAGTGAGTTTTGGTGAGTATTGGCATTTCTGTGCCTATACTCAATGAGGTCATTACAGAGATTTTAAGCAAGGGAAGGATCATTTCCTTGAACAGGGGGAGGACGGCACTTCCACAGACAAATTAAATTTGAAGGAGTCAGCATGTTTAAGGTACTTATTTGCCTCTGAGTCCACCCAAATGTGCCTATGAGCAAATTTCAGCTCACCGAAGAAAAGCATTTTGAATAGTTGTCACAGAATGGCTGCCAGAGGAGCCCAGAGACTTTCTGCATGAGGAGGTGTCTGAGCAGAAGCTCATCTCTTGTCCAGGGATGCCAGAAAGTCATCACAGGGTGAGTGTTGGAAGACATTTAAGATCTCTTGTTGACCAGGTTGTCAGGGGACCTGGGCTCCAGTCCAGGCTTTGCCTTTGTTTCTGTGGTACCTTTGATTGGAACTTTGTTTCCTTTTCTCTCAAAGGAGGGTGTGAGCCTGTAACAATGGTTTGCAAACTTGTTTTAAACCACAGAACCACTTCCTCAAAGTAAATGTAATACTTAAACTGCATATGTACATGGCTAGGCAACTTTTTTAAATACTATTTTTTGTTTTACTTTCTGCATTTTCCTTTTTTGTCTTTTCCAATCAAGGAACTAGGTCCTTATTATATCTTCAACCAAACTAAACCAAACCAGTTGCTACTGAGTCAATTCCAACTCATAGCGATCCTCTAAGACAAAGTAGAACTGCCCCATACGGTTTCCAAGGAGTGGCTGGTAGATTCGAATTGCCAACCTTTTGGTTAGCAGATATAGCTCTTATACACTGTAACACCAGGGCTCTTGTTATGTCTTAGATACAGGATATTTTTCATCCCCAAATCAGAAGCTGTGTGACATTCAGTGCTCTATTCTTATAAAAGTGTCCAAGATCATTAAGAGATTGTGTTGCAGCATTCTTTGTGGACAACAAGGTGTGGAAGGGCATGCCATTTAGGGTTACAGAGATAGATATTTACTCCATGTCACAAATGAGCATAATGTTGTTTGTATTGGCAACAGGGAGGAGTTGGCTCAGGGCATGCTTCTAGGCAGTGCTCCATATTAGTGGCAAGACCACAGAGGGGATGGCTGCTGGGTGTGCCTGGAAGATGGAGCCCCAAACACAGGGATACCCATATTCAACAAAAAGTCACATACTCTATGTGTGTTTCCCAAGCCAAGAACTTCCAACACTGAGAAGTCAAGGTGTTTTTGGAAACTTTGGATGCCCCAGTAACCATAATGGACTAAAGATTAGAAGCATTTTCCACTTTTCCAGACCACATGGGCCTCTCTGATTCTAGTTTGATTCTGCACAGGCAGGAACTTGCAGTAATGACTGTAATTATGTTGCTGACCAGTCCAATAGGATGGGTGTTTGGAATCAGAACTCTAATGCTTTCAGGCAAATATATAAATGTATTTTTTTTCTATAATTTGAATCTGTACAATTACATTCATGCCTGACTTCTCCTCTAGGTAAAGTTACTTCAGTGAACAAAGTTTGGAAACTTCAGATCTAGAAACCACAATCATTTCCATTTCTGTTGTTCTTTGGTCACATGTGATAATTCATGCAAACTGTAACCAGCAATGAAAGATAAAATGCAAATATTTTTATTCCTGTGGATTTCCCACATAGATGTAGGGTATGTGGACTCATCTGGGGAAAGGAGAGGCAGTACACAATTCCAGTGAAAGTCCTCCACACAGCCAGTTTCATTTGGATGCAGATGATAGACTGTTATGTTCACTCCAATGTCTGGAACTTAGTAGGTGTTCAACATGTATTTGGTTGTTAATTAGTAATAAAATTGTGCTTTCCTGACCTACTGTAGAGAGAAGCCCTTTCTAATTCATAAGGCTGACATAGTCCATGCTATCAGCAGGGAGTGTTAGCCTAGAGGTTAGTAGTGATCAACAGGGACAGGATGAGAGTAACTCAGGCTACTGAGTGACCAGGTGGCCAGTGGACCCTGAGCTTATGAGGGGCACTGGGCTGGATGTTGAGCTGAATGGAGGGTTGAGTTTGTCCTCCCCAGGTAAGAGTTGGGGCCAAGGGTTCTGGAGAGTGACCCTACAAGTCCTATCTTCCTAGGGCCCTGCCTGGTGCCAGCCCCCCTGAGGACCTTCACTGTTAGAGTATGAGCTGGGCTGGTAGCCCAGTGGTGAGGCTCTGCTGGAACCACACATGGTTTTCGTTGTCCTATATGGAGATATGAGGAAGGGGCCAGCTGAGATCAGTGTGGTCTGGGCGGACAAGAGTTGGTGGACTCTGAGAACTGTCAGTGGAAACTGGGGATGGAGGAGAAAGTGTGGCCAGGAGTCTGGAGGCTGGTCTGGGCCCTGAGCTCAAAGCAAGGCAGGGAAGGGAAGGAAGGAAACTAAGGCCAGGGGAGAATGAGGAGCTTCTCAAGGAGCCCTCCCTGGAAAGCTGCCAGTTTCTCTGGCTATGGGAAAGAAATGTCCTGCTTTTGCTCTTCCCTGCACCCCAGGCTATGCCTGTTTGACCTCTAGAACCCATCAGTCAGTCCTTTCCTTTCTTCCATGTAGCACAGGCGAAGGAGGAAAGAAGTTTACCCAAGCACAGGACCTGAAAGATTTGTGTCTCCTCCTGAGGGTGTTCAGCATCAGCCCTGCAGAAAGGCAGGCTGTGGAGAGACAAGAGTGGGTAAGAAGGAGCTGAGTCACCACTTTGCATGGGGATTTGGGGATACGATATGGGGAAGAGAGGAAGTAGGACACAGAGCAGAATTATGTCCTTGGCCTGCGTAGCCCAGAGTAGGTACCTGTGAAAGAAGGTCAATGAAAAAACGACACCAGCCCTTCACTCTCAGCTAAGACACTTTTATTAAGGTGCTAGCCCTCCAGAGAAGTTGGTTAGTCATAGAGGGGCTCAGTCTGATTCCTGCAGTTGGAGGTGTTTCATGGTTTCCTTTATCCAGAGCAAGAAACTCGAGACTTTGGTGAAAACCCTAGGAGAAGTCCCGTCTTTTCGTCCATAGGAGACAATGCCCTGGGCCATATTGTTGCACACAAGGGGACCCCCAGAGTCTCCCTGGAAATGGAGAGGGGAAAGATTGAGCTTGTTCTCCTCTTGGTTATGCCCCCCTGGCAATCTCCACAATCTGGGAGAAGCTGCTATACATGGTGTGAGAAAAGAGGGCAGGCAGGCCTCTGGGCACCCTCAGCTGTCAAGCTCCAACCCTGGACACTGTGGTTGCTTCACTTCACCCCGGGTTGTGGCCTCCCTTCTGCCCACAGATCCAGGATCCTCTCCCTATAAGTGGCTGTGGGACCTTTGATTCCAGGCTACTCCTTATGGAGGCAGACAAGTGTGGCTGAACCCAGCATGGAGGACAGTCGATTAACCAAGGTGGGTGCCAGCTCTTGAGTTGTTGCCTGTTTTTAATTACCCCATTTAGGGGGAACACTGTTTTCTCGTATGTGTGCCCTGGTGTGGGGTGAAAGCCCCCCCAAAAAATAAACCAATTCCTGTCACGTCTATTCCAACTCATGGCAACCCAATGTGTTACAGAGTAGAACTGCTCCATAAGGTTTTCTTGGCTATAATCCTTAAGGAACACCTCAGGGTGAGTTTGAACCACTGACTTCTAGGTTAGTAGCTGAGCGTAAAGTCTGCCACCCAGGGACCTTTGGGGTGGAGCAGGGAGTTGCAAATTCATCCTTCACCATTAGTAGGCCAGCAGAGGCCCTAGTGACTCCTCAGCTTGGCTGCTAGTCTATTCTCTTCCCAGGGTAAAAGGTCATAGCCTAGTGGGTGAAGGAGTCTCCCACTGCTTGGGTCTCCAGGTCCCAGATCTTCCCCAGACATCCTATTCCCCAGAGTCAGGCTAGACAGATGCTAAAACCCACCTTAAAGGAAGCCATCTTCTTCTTCGGGTCCCCCACGCACACCTCTGAGTCACTACTATAATTGTTGAAGTAGGACTCGCACTTCTTGTCCTCCTGCACAGTCAGTGCCACCTCTTGCAGGGTGGCTGCATACTTGTCCATTGGGGCAACCTGGCCCCAGCCAGCCACACTGCACACCTGTCCTGGCCTCACCTGGGCCTTTTTCCCGGGCAGGCGGATCGGGCGCACAGCCGCCATCCGTTGGGCCTCTGTCTCCAGCTGATGGGAAGAGACAAGAACGTCCCATTCAGCAATAGCCTGCTGGACCTGGAGACTCTGACAGGCTGCGCTGTCTTGCTGCTTCTCCAAGGCCCTGGGACTAGTTAAGCAGCCAGGGTGGGAAGGTAGGAAGGACAGGGGTCACGGTGGGAGCAGAAACTCCCTGGACCCAGGAGAGCAAGGAGCAGCAGGAAAGTGTGCCTCACCTGTAGTAGCATGATGTCGTTGGAAATAGTCTTCTCATTATAGTCTGGATGGCGGATGGCTCTTCTCACAGGGATGTGCTGCTGGGTCTTTTCCTGCTCCTTGATGTTGTGGGCCCCCAGGGTGACATTTATGCTGCTGCACAGAGAGTAAGGAGCCCTGGCTGCTAACCAAAACGTCAGCAGTTCAAAGCCACTAGCCACTCCTTGGAAACCCTGTTGGGGCAGTTCTACTCTGTCCTATATGGTTGCTATGAGTAGGAATTGACTCGAAGGCAACAGATACAGAGAGCAGAGTGGGGCAGGGGAAGTCACAGGAGCTGTAACTCAGAAGCTGGGAAGAGCAGGTGACAGCTGAGTCAGAGCGGGACTGTAGCTGAGGGAAAATGGTGGGGGGGCTTGAGGTCCTGGGCGTAAGCTCGCTGTGCCCTCTGTTTCCTGTAGCCCAGGTAGGCTGCTAGAACCATTAATAACTGCACCAGAGGTTCTCAGAGATCCGTTACCCACAAGAAAACACGAAGGATTGGTTTTGTTTGTATGTTGACCCCCAGCTCTAAATATGGCATGGTTGGTCAGTGTAGGCTCTATTTCTTCAGTAATGCTTCTGGCACTGACCTCCTCTCCCTACAAAATTAGCTGCCCTGTTTCTCATTATCGTAGAGCTCTCCTGGCCCTTGTGTTATGAGGAGCCCAGAAAGCACCTTGGGAGGAAGGCAAGGGTCTCTGTAGGGTGTTCCCAGGGGAGTGTGGGCTGTTTGCTGCTCCTCACCTTCCCCAGCAGTGAGCAGCCGTCAGCACAAAGTCCTCTCGGATCAGGAAACCACCACACCTCTTCTTCTCCTTCTGTTTCCAGAACTGAAGAAATGCCATGTAGGGGTGGGAGTGGGGCCGGGCCTCATGTCCCCCGATGATCTCTCCTGAAGGAGAAGTCTCTTCTGCTGTGTGCACCACTGAGTACCCCTAGCAGGCACCTGCTTGATGGCTCCAGAATTATTGGGCATTTGCGAGCCTGGGGTGACCTGAGGTGGGGCAGCTGGGGTGAGGGGACTCAACCTCCTCCTCCAAAACACGGAAGAGCAGTCCCTGGTCTGTAATCTTTCTTCTGCACATCACTGGAGGTGAGCATAGCTGTCTTAGGATAGCAAGGTCCCAGAGGCTCCAGAAAATTCCCCTCTTGATCTTTCTTGGTTTTAAGTGAATTTCTAAGACAACTATGAGTCCTGTGACATCTAGGCTAGTGCATCCTGGACATAAGTTTAGGGATCTAGTGTTATATAATATTTCCTACAGCCTGACAGAGTGGGTGCCCAGTAAATGTTCATTAGCTGCATGAAGGAATGGTCCCCATTTACTGGATGAAGGTTGCTGGGGTTAGTGCTGGTAAGATTCTGGAAAGCAGAGAAGTTGCGGGTCTGCCAAAGACCATGACCTATTCTTGATAAGAGGGGAGCTACCGAGGCCTTGGAAAAAATGCAGAGTTGGAGAAATGGACTGAGGGATCTTGGGGCTGAGCAAAGGCAAACAGTGTTATGGGGACAGTGGTCCCACCAATTGCAGGGTCAGATGAGCTCTGGGTTTCTCTCCTAGGCAGAGGGGTGAGGGGAGCACTTGTCTCATCCCAGACACAGAAGCCAGGCCCACACTGCCTTCTGTAGGGAAATTTGATATTTCTTCTTTCCAGTTTCCCACCTATTGCTATGCATTTCTAGGAAAGTTCCACTTTCCAGATGACAAGGGCAGGACCTGGGGAAGGAGTAGTATCCCTGACTCTTAAGAATAGAATTCGTCCCTGCTGTTCCTCCTGACTGTTTACCTAGCATCATACTAGGGGCCTGGGATGGGATTGAAGGTGGGATTAAGAATGTTCCTGGCAGATAGATGGATCAGGAATGTGCACAAGGAGCAGAAGATCAGTGCCCACTGTGTGATGGGGCCAGACCTCAGAGGGTGGGGGTGGTCACTCACCTGTTTCTGCCTCAGGGGCCAGAAGAAAGGCTAATAGGAGCACAAGCAGCTGCATCTTATGAGGAAAACTGCCCAGGTCAGAGCTGCTGGTACTTTCCCCTGGCTTGCTTTTAGCCCCCAGGAGAGGAAGGAAGTGGAGGTGGGATTAGTGATCTCACGGTCACCTCTGGTTTTGTGACACTTCATCATAGAAGGTGTTTTACAAAAGCTACCCTTCACACCCATCCCTATAACCTCAGCCTGCTTTCGTTCTTTGTGTGCTTGTGAAAGAATCAGGCAGTTGCCACATCAGTACCCATAGCCGATGACTCAGAGCAGGGCCCAAGGGTAGAAGGTGGGGACTGTAGGATGTGGCATTGCCCAGTAGAGGTACTAGAGTTCCAGAAGCCAGAGTTCCCAGTGATAGAATCACCAATGCCTTCATTTCCATACTGCTAAGTCCATCAGGATAATTTCCTTAGCAGATGTGTATTTAGGTCCTTCTCTGTGCCAGGACCAAGCATACTGGAGATATGTCTCCTTTCTTTAGAGAGCTCACTAACTCATGGAGGAGACAGAAACCTCAGTGACCAGAGCACAGTATGGTGAGGGCTATGGTAGAGGGGCACATAAAGCAGTAAGTGAGCATGGCCACCATCTACTAAACCCATACAGCAACTCATTCATCATCGCAGCTTCCTTCCTAGGGGATTTTTTTTTAAATTGTACTTTAGATGGAGGTTTACAGAACAAACTAGCTTCTCATTAAACAGTTAGTACACATATTGTTTTATGACATTGGTTAACAACCTCACGACACGTCAACCCTCTCCCTTGGGTTCCTATTACCAGCTTTCCTGTCCCCTCCTGCCTTCTTGTCCTTGCTCCTGGGCTGGTGTGCCCCTTTAGTCTCATTTTGTTTTATGGGCCTGTCTAATCTTTGGCTGAAGGGTGAACCTCAGGAGTGACTTCATTACTGAGCTAAAAG